TAATGATAGAGAAGGGGAGGGGGGGGCTGGGGGAGAGCTGAGCTCTCGTGCCGCCGTTGGTAAAAAAAATTAGCCAATCAGAATCGAGTGTTCACTTTCAGCGCTGAGGAGTGTTGCGAATAGAACCCTCGCAAGGGAGGCTAGCCTTCTGATATCAACCAATCATCAGAGACGTACATTACGTGATATTAGTTTGAACGTAGCGATATTGAATATTTGATTGCCAACAGATTTACCAAGCTGTCATTCAAACAGTATACAAATTTAGGGAAAACAGCCTAAGCTGGATATAGGCTACAGCAGTCGGCTTAAAGGGGTCATATGATGCGATTTCAAGTTTTCCTTTCTCTTTGGAGTGTTACGGCAGCATCATGCTGTGGGGGTGTTTTTCAGCTGCAGGGACAGGACGACTGGTTGCAATCGAGGGAAAGATGAATGCGGCCAAGTACAGGGATATCCTGGGCGAAAACCTTCTCCAGAGTGCTCAGGACCTCAGACTGGAACTAAGGTTTACCTTCCAACAAGACAATGACCCTAAGCACACAGTTAAAATAACGAAGGAGTGGCTTCACAACAACTCTGTTACTGTTCTTGAATGGCCCAGCCAGATCCCTGACTTAAACCCAATTGAGCATCTCTGGAGAGACCTAAAAATGGCTGTCCACCAACGTTTACCGTCCAACCTGACAGAACTGGAGAGGATTTGCAAGGAGGAATGGCAGAGGATCCCCAAATCCATGTGTGAAAAACTTGTTGCATCTTTCCCAAAAAGACTCATGGCTGTATTAGATCAAATGGGTGCTTCTACTAAATACTGAGCATTTTTCAGTTTTTCTTTTTTAATAAATCTGCAAAGATGTCAACAATTCTGTGTTTTTCTGTCAATATGGGGTGCTGTGTGTACATTAATGAGGAAAAAAAATTAACTTAAATGATTTTAGCAAATGGCTGCAATATAACAAAGAGTGAAAAATTTAAGGGGGTCTGAATACTTTCCGTACCCACTGTATATACAAATTTAGGGAAAACAGCCTAAACTGGATATAGGCTAACATTACAGCAGTCGGCTTAGTTAAATGGCACAACAGGCAGCTCTCTTTTAACACAGACTTTTAAGAAGGGATGGATGTTTGCTTCAAGTGATAGGCCAGGTAAGTGAAATTATATTATCTTGCTGTATGTATGTCGTTTTCTTTACATTTTTTGACTAAAAGCAACCAAAAAGCCATTTTAAAGTGGTTAGGTTAAACAAATAATAATAATAATAATCGGCAGGGATCCCAGACCAATGCAATTAGTGTGCCTCCTCTATTTTAAAACCCACGAGCCGCCACTGGAAAGGAGAGGTATTTTGTAGCATCTGTCACAACGGGCCAGACGGAGAAATGGGAGTGCCCAGTGCAGGGCTTCTGGGAGGTTGCAGACGAGAGATTAAGGGGGCAGGTGGTACGTGGCTTTGCTTGCCTTCTCACAGTCTTTCTCTTCCTCCATCTCTCAGACAGTGTTATATAAGAGCCATAGAGTTGCCGTCATGTGCATGCTAGTGCATTAGACAATTCTTCTTACAATGCAGCTCAAGGGTCAGTGATGTATGAGAGTATCTGTGATTAAAAAAATTAAAAATATTTTTAAAACGTAGTTGTGTACAAAGTAATGTGTTTGTTGTTGTAATTTGTTGTTTTTTTTATATGATTTTTATATTTTATTTTTATTTTTATTTTTCATTCTTTTTTGGGGGGAGTCACAAATTAAAACACTAATAAGACACTAATCTTGAAGATGGAGATAAGACACTAATCCTGTTTTTTTATTTAAAAAAAAGGTCAAATTATATGATATTTTAAAAGACTTCTTGACCTCATTAAGCCAAATATTACTCTTGGTTTCAAGTGTATGTGTGTGTGGTCTCTGTGGGACGTCTCATCTGGTTCACAATACCTCTGCATGTCCCTTGTATGACATACTAGGAATGAAAGGACTATACAGAGCTATTCTCCCTGCTTATTATTGTGTGTATGTGTGCTTGCACACGCACACTTGGTGAATGAGTGAGAAGGCAATTTGTAGCTCGTTCACAAGTCCATTATCAAGAAAAGGTTAGTTCTCTCTGTCTTCTGTTGAAGTATTCCTGGCTGTGGTGAGATACTATCAGACAGACACGTCTCACTTCATACTCAACTCTCAATCGCTTCAGCTGAACTGTCTGACTGTGATTCCTGGGCTATTTATAATGGTTTCTTTGATTTGAGAGTGTCTCCCCTCTATTTCGTCTGAGTTTCTGATTTTTATTTTAGTTTGATACTGATTTTAAAGTACTTTGTCAAGCAAAAGTGCCACAGAATGGCCAGGGTCTTTTACGACAGAACTACCTGTATTCTGGTGTACTTGACCCTCTGTGCTGCCTCAGAGAAACAAAACCATTTTCTTCAAATTTGATGCATATAAGAATCTGATACAAATGAGATGGCAGTTTGACCTTGGTTACGAGATCCTTGTTAGATATCCGATCTTTACTCAAGTTAAAACACTTTCATCATCCTCATGAATGTATGCTGGTTTACCTAAAGGCTGCAACACACACCAGTTTTTGTTCTGTGCTGATCACAATCGAATACTTTCATTATAACATACAGAGTGTATACATGACGATGTTAATAATATATTAATTGCGCAGTGTGAGATTCATTGGTCATAACAGAACTTTGTGAGATCGCGATGAACAAAGAGTGACAGTTTTTTAGTGGTTAAAAAAGGAGCGCTCTTTGCGAGCTTTCTAGGCAATAATCCATTTAAAATGTAGAACTTTGTTTTTCGACCACACACACTTTGCAAAGTTTCGGGAATGACATCCGCATATTTATGCTGGATTCGCTCTCAAAGTATTAGTGATTGACATCGTGATAACCATAGCAATAGATGGGACAAAATATGTGAAAATGTGCATTAAGACTAGAGCACCCTCACTAGTTTCAGAAGCACCCTCAGTGGTTATTTTTATTGTATAGCCTTCAAAAACAACAAAATGCAAATGCACTAAATAAAATAATTTAATAAATGCATATTTACAATTTAAGCACTTAACTAAAATAAGTATTAAATAATTAAATAAATAACTAGAGAAGGCTAACTATAACCAGTTGGCTTCCATTTAGTAAGAAAAGCCTAGGCTACTGAATTCACCTGAATTAGAAAAAAAAGCTCTTCTGGTCTTCAGTGACGCGAGGACAACATTTGAGCGTGTACACGCAATATCTGAGCGAGAGCAGAGCCAATTCATAAAAATAAAAAAAATGTATAGTTAAAAGCGCACATCCAGTTTTGTATGAGTGAAGGAAATCCGCTTGCGAGTGGAGAGATTCTTGCTCACGCATTACATGGATCGCGTAACATTATGCGCTTTTGACATTTGTCATTAAGATCACACTATAGAAACCGCTTTAAAAAAAATTTTTATTAAGTATAAAGAAGAGAAGAAAGCAGCCCTAGGCAGCTGCCTACACAGGATCCGCCACTGCCAGGTGCAGTTAGAAATTTACTAAAAACAAGCCTATCGCAAGACATCTGATAGGGCGGGTACCTGGGGTGGCCAGCCAGATTTCAGGGGGGGCCGTGCCAATCCTGGCCACCACTTAGACACGCCCCTGATCGTAAGTCTGATCTCTTTTGCAAGTCTGCTCTCTGTTACGAGTCAATTCTCTTGTATGATTCTGATCTCAGTTACGTGTCTGATCTGTTACAAATCAAATCTCTGGTACAAATCTGATCTCAGTTATGAGTCAGATCTCTGCTCTGAATCTGATTTCTGTTGCAGATCTGATCATCTCATCTAAGTCTGATCTGTTACGAGTCAAATGTCTAGTTATGAGTCTGATCTCTGATATGAGTGAAAACTCTTATACAATCCTGATCTCTATTATGAGTCTGATCTCAGTCCCGAATTGCATCTGTTACGAATGAAATCAGTGGTACAAATTCCATGTCAGTTTCAAGTCAGATCTCTGCTCTGGATCTGATTTCTGTTGCAAATCTGATCTTGCATGTGAGTCTGATCTGTTATGGGTCAAATTTCTGGTATAATCTGATCTCAGTTGTGAGTCTGATGTCTAGTACAAGTCAAATCTCTGATACAATTCTGATCTCAGAAGTCAGATCTCTGCTCTGAATCTGATCACTGTTGCAGATCTGATATCTGCTTTGAGTCTGATCTGTTGGGAGTCAAATCTGTAATATTAATTTGATCTATTGCGAGTCTATGTATGAGTCAAATCTCTTATACAAATCTGACCTCAGTCACTAGTCTGATCTCAGTTCCAAACAAATCTCTGGAAGTCAGTTACAAGTCTGATCTCTGCAGATCTGATCTATGCTCTGAGGCTGATATCTTACAAGTCAAATCACTGGTATGAATCTGATCTCAGTTACAAGTCACTTCTCTACTCTGATCTCTGTTGCAAATCTGATTTCTGCTCTGAGTTTGATGGTTATGAGTCTGATCTTGTGACTTGATGCTGGTCTCTATTGATATCTTGTAGGGTCAATCAAACACTACCATAATTCAGAAATATTCTGCTCTGATCTCCGTCTCTCTATAACCACTGTTCCTGATTTTTAAAACTGGAAGGTTTCTCTTTTGTGCAAAGATTACATTTCATAGCTGCGATATTTGGTAGAGGTTGAATGAGCTTAGGCTAAACACCCAGTTGGCAGTAGATTCTTTTCCTCTGCTCAGTATTTAAAGGGCAGTGCTGTTCTACTAATCTAATAACTACATTACAGACGTCTCTTGGCAGTAAGAAGTTCATATTGTAAGCCTACACAAAGCTCTGATCTCGCTCGTATATTTCATTAATCAGTGCTGGAGTTGAACTGAACCGCAAATCACTTGTGTTCACATTTACTTCTGTTCCAGTTAATCCAGATTAAAGCATGTTTTTGATGTAGTTTTGTGGGTGCTGGTAGTTTTAGAGAAACTGACAGATTGTTTCTTTCGGTCTCTACAGGTGTGCTAGTGGGCGCTCCCATTCGAACAGCAGTCACGATGGTGGCCCTGTCGCTGAAGATTTGCGTGCGACAGTGCAATGTGGTAAAGACGATGCAGTTTGAGCCCTCAACTCCGGTTTACGACGCCTGCCGGATAATCAGAGAGCGAGTTCCAGAGGCCCAAAGTGGACAAGGTAAGAGTTGCAAAATAGTCCTCTAGGTTTCCCGCCATTTTACACTCTTCCATGAGACTACATTTTTTTTGCAGGTTATTGTTTTATCAAAGTATTGCATAAAGGGATAGTTCACCCAAAAATGAAAATTCTGTCATTAATTACTCACCCTCATGTTGTTTCAAACCCGTAAGACCTCCGTTCATCTTCGGAACACAAATTATACAACATATTTTTGATGCATTCTGAGAGCTCTCTGATCCCCCCATAGACAGCAAGGGTCCTTACATGATCAAGGTCCAGAAACGTAGCAAGTAGATCGGTAAAATAATCCATGTGACATCAGGGGTTCAACCGTGATTTTACAAAGGTACGAGAATACTTTTTGTGCACAAAAGAAAAAAAAAAAAACGACTTTATTCAACAATTTGTCTCCTCTGCGTCACCCTGTAGCGCCATTTTAGAGAGTATCCACTGAACGCAAACAGCGTATGATGTTCTGTGTCAGCTGCGGCACGCGTCACGTCGTGGTCTTATGGGTTTGGAACGACATGAGGGTGAGTATGACAGAATTTTCATTTTTGGGTGAACTATCCCTTTAAACACACTAGGGGCAGGGGGAACTTTTATGTTTGGTCTAAATTTTGTAAAAACCTACAGAGCTTGACAGAAGTTTAGATTCGGGTTAAATCTTTATACCAGCTTCTTCACATCAGTAGATGTTTCTGTATCCGTCATGTCAAAAGTGTTACGCTATGTGCAACCTCCGCTGATGTCCAGTTCTGCTTCAGAGTGAGTCTGATGGATAAGTGCTCTCTCCCTCTCTTTCCATCTCCACTAAAGTCATCAGATCGCCACAAAGTCAAGCATTAATGCTCTCTGCTCACTGGTGTTTGCGAAATGGACTTGTAACAGCTCAACAGGAGTCATCGCTTCGGGATGAGTCTGCAGCTCCGCCACTCTGTGTACATTCATTATACGGCCAGCTACAGTTATATGACTGTTGTCCCGTGCGCCGCACATGATTGCTTCCCACGATGGCCGCAATGAATTGGACTCATCTTATAAATGTCAATTGTTTCTTTTAGGATCAAAGACAAATGGCTTTGTGGTTTAATGAAGAGTCTGATATTTATTATGACCATATTTGTAGACGTAACCGGATCTCTTTGATTTAGTGTCTACTTCCATGGGGCGAGATGTTGTTTTAATTATGTAAAAATTATTGCAGCATCAGATTACGGGCTCTTCCTGTCCGATGATGACCCCAGGAAAGGAATCTGGTTGGAATCAGGGCGCACCCTTGATTACTACATGCTGCGGAATGGGGTAAATCACATTATTAGCCTTATCTGTATTCTCTTCAGACTTTCGTAAGTTTTTATTTCCATTGTGATTCTAAGCATAATTTCAGCATTTGTTCTTGTCTTGTACAGGACGTCCTGGAGTACAAGAAAAAACAGAGACCTCAGAAGATCAAAATGCTGGATGGAACAATCAAAACCATAATGGTGGATGACTCCAAAACAGTAGGGGAGCTGTTGGTCACCATCTGCAGTAGGATAGGTGGGTAATTCTTTTATCCTGTCAAGTTTGGCAGAAATATTGGGCTTGTAAAGTACCAGCTGCTACAATGAATGTTTAAAAAAAATGCAGTGTACAGTAACAGTACCTTAACTTAACTTAAAGGGATAGTTCACCCAAAAATGAAAATTACCCCATGATTTACTCATCCTCAAGCCATCTTAGGTGTATATGACTTTCTTCTTTCAGACAAATAAAATCGGAGTTATATTAAAAAATGTCCTGGCTCTTCCAAGCTTTATAATGGCAGTGAATGGCTGTTGAGATTTTGAAGTCCAATAAAGAGCATCAATTAATAATAAAAAGTGCTCCACATGACTCCAGGGGGTTAATAAAGGCCTTCTGAAGCGATGCGATGCATTTGTGTAAGAAAAATATCCATATTCTAAAGTTTATAAACCGTAATCTCTAGCTTCCGTTAACTGTCCTACACACATTCACGAGAGAGTGACATTCCAGCGGATGATGCTTATTTGTGTATGTTAATTTTCTCTATTTTGACATTTCGATCATTTAAACTTAAATCTTTAAAAACATTTTAAAAGCATACTTAATTATGTAATCTTTAGCAAATATCAAAATGAATATACTTTTTTCATACTGTACATTATAATGTTGTGATGCCTAAATTCACTTGTAGTGTTTTAAATGATCGATTTTAGTGTTAGTGTTTGTAATTGAGACAAAATAGCATACAATTTTAATATTCGCCATTTATCGGTATGGGCCAGATTTGTAATATCGGTACACCACTAGTAATAGGTGTACAAATAAACAAAATATATTTTATTTTGTTCTCATTATGTCCAGTATTGGATATATGACTCTTAAACATCACATGAAAAATATGACTTTACATGGTCCTTTTCTGTTTAAATGGCCAGTTTAAGCGACAATGTGGATGGATAAGCATTAGCCTCCTCATTCCCTTATATTTTTTATTCATTTCTTTTCATTTTCCTGAACGATTTACAATCCTGTACGATTTCCAATTCCTCTTGGCTGAATGATATTTATTTAGTTTCCCACAAAACCTGTGCTGGAGAGATTGTAAGACTGACAGATAGAGAGTGCTGATTATCTCGTGCTCCACAGGAATCACTAATTATGAGGAGTACTCACTGATCCAAGAGCAGGTGGAGGAGAAGCGTGAGGATGGGATGGGAACGCTGAAGAAAGACAGAACCCTCCTGCGAGATGAGAGGAAGATGGAGAAGCTGAAAGCCAAACTTCACACAGATGATGATTGTGAGACTCCTGGCAACTGTGAAAATAAAACATTAGCAAACAAAACACCCCGCCAGATTTACACACACTGAGAGATTCTTATACAGGCTTGAAAAATATTTAAATGATATAATAACTGGTGTCATAGACCCCCTTAGTATTTGCTCACTGGATTTGAACTGTGGTGTTAATAAAAATTTATTTGGTTGCTAATGCTAACATGGTTTCATTCATAGTGAACTGGCTGGACCACAGTTGGACGTTTCGGGAGCAGGGCGTAGAGGAGAGTGAGATACTACTTCTACGAAGGAAGTTCTTCTATTCTGACCAGAATGTAGACTCTCGTGATCCTGTCCAGCTCAACCTGCTCTACGTACAGGTAAAAGATTGTTTTTGATCACTTTTTTGCTCTCTTTTTCTATTTCAGACCATATTCTGACTAGATGTTTTCACCAAAAAGCATAATACGTCACAAAACAACAAGATCACAGCCAATCAGACCATATTTGATATTAAACACAGTTATATGGAACAGGTTTTTTGACCAATGATATTTAACTGTGGGCGGAGCTAGTCGTCCAAAATAATGTTCTTTTTAGCAGTATCATATGACCCCTTTAACAAATAGAAACCAAGCAATCATCAAAATGGCTTGTCATGCAGTGCTTTTGTCCATCATGGCAGGTTAGAACAGAATAGAATCACTCTAAAAAACGATTCAGGGGACCTGTTACCACAACTTAAATAAATGCGTGGTTGCAAGTTAAAAATTCTAATTTAATAATTTAATTAAACCTTTTAAGTTGCAAACATTATTTTGAGTTCAG